GGGGTAGGGTGTGGGTATGGGGGAGAGAGGGGTAGGGTGTGGGTATGGGGGAGAGGGAGGGTGTGGGATGGGGGAGGGAGTGGGTATGGGGGGAGGGCGAGGGGAAGGGTGTGGAATTTAAACAAAGTAGTGGTTCAGTTGCGTGGAAAATTATGGAAAAAGTTAAGTGGGGGAGGGCTCAGTCGAGGTTATTTAAATTTCCAAAACCAGTAATAGGAGAAAGAGTGTGGAAAGGGTCAGCAATCTAACAGCAGGCCCAGCGGATAACGAGACAACTAGGAGAAGTAGGTGGCTGTCCAAGCAGTTCGGAGGGTGTTGTATTCAAATGCACTTTGTATACAAAACAAGGTAAATGAGCTTGTAGCTTAGATTGAAATTGGCAGGTACGATGTTGTGGGTATCACACAGATATGGCTGCAAGGGGATTAGGGCTAGGAATTAAATATCCAAAAATGCATATCCCATCGAAAGGATGGGCAGATGGGCAGGAGAGCCTTGTTAGAAATGAAATTATATCACTTTTTGTTGTCAATTTAGAGTTGGAAGGCGTAGAATCTGAATGGGTAGGGTGAGGAACCTCAAAAGGAAAATGACCCTAGAGGTAATTATGTACAGGACTCCAGGCATAGGATGTGGGGAAGAAAATAAATCCAGAGAAACAAAAGGGCTTGGAAGAAAGGCACCATTCCAATAATCATGGGGGATTTCAATATATCGGTGGTCTAGGAAAGTCAGGTTGGTAGTGGACCTGCAGAAAAGGTATTTGTAGAATGTAAGGGTATTGTAATTGAGTAAAGGCGACTACAAAGACATGAGGGAGAAGCTGGATAGAGTTGATTGGCAGGGGAGTCTAGAAGGGAAGATGGTGGAGCAGCATTGACAGGAGTTTCTGGGCTAATTTTGGAGGTACAGAAGAAATTCATCCCAAGGAAGAAGAAACATGCTAAGGGAATGATGCGAAAACAATAGCTGACAAGGGAAGCCAGGGACAACATAGAAGGAAAAGGAAAAGCATTCAATGTGGTGAGGATGAGTGGGAGGCAAGAGGTTTGGGAAGGTCTTTAAAAACCAGCAGATGATAACGAGCAAAGCAATTTGGGGGGAGAAAATGAAATTTGCTAGTAAGCTAGCTTGTAATAAAAATGAAGATAGATAGAATTTTTATTAGACATATAAAAGGGAAAAGAGAGACAAAATTGAACTTTAGCCTGCAGGAAAATGAAGCTGGGGAAGTAGTAATGGGGAACAAAGAAATGGCAGAGGAACTGAACAGGTACTTTGCATCAGTCTTCAGGATGGAAGACACCAGCATCATACCAGAACTTCAAGAGAGTCAGGGGACAGAGGTGAGTGTGGTGGCCGTCACAAAGGAGAAGGTGCTAGGGAAGCTGAGAGGTCTGAAGGTGGATAAATCACCCAGACCAGATGGACTATATCCCAGAGCTCTGAAGGAGATAGCTGAGATTGCAGAGACATTGTTGGTCCTTCAGGAATCTCTGGAGTCAAGAAGGGTCTCAGAGGACTGGAAGAAGGTTGATGTAACACTCCTGTTTAAGAAGGGAGGCAGAAGATAGGAAATTATACACTGGTTAGGTTGACCTTGCTAGGGGTAAGATGTTAGAGTCCATCATTGAGGATGAGACTGTGGAGTATTTAGAAGTGGTCACACCTGACAAATCTGTTAGAATTCTTTGAGGTACCAAAAAAGTTAAATAAAGGAGAGCCTGTGGATGTGATTTATTTAGATTTCCAGAAGGCCTTTGACAAAGTCCATACAGGCGGCTTCTAAATAGGATAAAAGCCCATGGTGTTAGGGGCAAGGCATTGGCATGGACAGAGGATTGGCTGACTGGCAGAAGTCAAAGAGTAGGGATAAAGCGGTATTTTTCAGGATGGCAGCCGGTGATTAGTGGAGTTCCGCAGCGGTCTCTGTTAGGATCACAACTGTTTACGTTTTAAGGAGAGGTGATGGTCTAGTGTATTATTGCTAGACTATTAATCAAGAGATGTTCTGGGGACCCCACTTCAAATCCTGCCACACAGATGGTGGAATTTGAATTCAGTAAAAACAAATGTGAAATTAGAAATCTAATGATAACCATGAAACCATTATTAATTGTTGAAAAAAACCCACCTGGTTCAGTCATGTCTTTTAGGGAAGGAAACTGCTATTGTGTGGCCTACATATGACTCCAGAACCACAGTAATGTGGTTGACCCTCAACTGCCCTGACAAATGATGCCCACATCCTGTGAATGAATGAAAAAAAAAATGATCTGGATGAAGGAACTGAGGGCATTGTTGCTAAGTTTGCAGGTGACACAAAGAGGTGTGGGGGAACAGTGTTGAGGAAATGGGGAGGCTGCAGAAGGACTTGGACAGACTAGGAGAGTGGGCAAGGAAGTGACAGATGGAGTACAACATGGGAAAGTGTGAGGTTATGCGCTTTGATTAGAAGAATAGAGCTGTAGACTATTTCCTAAGTGGGGAAGGCTTGAGAAATCTGAAGCACAAAAGGACTTGGGAATTCTCATTCAGGAATTTTTTCAGGTTAACATACAGGTTCAGTTGGTAGTTAGGAAGGCAAATGCAATGCTAGCATTCATTTCAAGAGAGCTAGAACACAAGAGCAGAGATGTACTGCTGAGGCTGTATAAGGCTCTGGTCAGACTGCATTTGGAATATTGAGAGCAGTTTTGGGCCCCATATGTTAGGAAGGATGTGCTGGCCTCGGAGGGTGTCCAGAGGAGGTTTACAAGAGTGATCCCAAGGATGAAGGGCTTATCTTATGACGAGCAATTGAGAACTCTGGGTCTGTACGCACTGACGTTTAAAAGGATGAGGGAGGATCTGATTGAAACTTACAGAATACTGAGAGGCCTGGGTAGAATGGACATGGAGAAGATGCTTTCACTAATAGGAGAGACTAGACTCTGAGGACACAACCTCGGAGTGAAGGGATGACCCTTTAGAACCGAGATGAGAAGGAATTTCTTCAGCCAGATGGTGGTTAATCTGTGCAACTCATTGCCGCAGAGGGCTGTTGAGACCAAGTCATTGACTGTCTTTAATACAGAGATAGATAAGTTCTTGATTAGAAAGGGGGAAAGGGGATAAAGTGTGGAGAAGGCGGAAGGGGATGAAGCAGGGAGAAGGCAGAAGAATAGGATTGAGAAACGTACCAGCCATGATCGAATGGTGAAGCAGATTTGAGGGGCCGAATGGCCTAATTCTGCTCCTATATCTTATGATCTTATGGGGTGGGTGGAAATGGGGTATGTGTTGGGGTGGCGTGTGTGTGAGGGGGCATGGCGTGATGTTACTGATGCTACTGTTTCCTTCTCCACAGGCGGTTCCTGGAACACGGCCTCGTTTGTTTCAGGGAATTACCTTCAATTCCCGAGCTTCAATCCCGGGCCTAGTGCTGACATCTCACTCTATTTCAAGACCACATCGTCTCATGGTGTCTTTCTGGAGAATTCTGGATACAGAAATTTCATCCGTCTGGAACTGAAATGTGAGTGTTATTATTTGAAATTATAGTTTGGGAAAATGAAAAGCGCTTCAGCAAAATTGGATTATAAAAACAAAACACTGACCAATGAAAAATACAGAGTGAGCCTCTGAACTCCCAAGTGCCCTGTTCCCCATGTCCCCTTTTCCCAGAGATTTAATCAGCGTGGGACCTCTTACCCCAGGGAACTGGCTGTGCCTGTAAATTGTTCTGTAAATTAGAAACTCAAATGTTAAGAGTGGTTAAAAAAAGTTCAGAGGTGTGCAATAGCATCTCTGCACAGAAAAATTCCCTTCCTCCTTTTTTTTGTAATAATGCCTCTGGTGGGTAGTGTTTGTAACTTATTTTCATTTGAAACATGGGCATCAGAAGAGGAACTAAATTCTTAGGTGGGTCCTGTGGGGTCTGGGGTGCCTTATCCCCCCTTTCAGCTAACCCCATCTTGGATTTAATTGCCCCCTCCCCTCCCCTCCCCTCCGATTTCCCCATTTTGGTTTTATTACCATGCTCCTTGTGGGCAGTGTTTTCTCTTTTTGAAATTTGGATAATTGGTTTATTAAATAAAAAAGCTGTGCTCTTCCCAGTGGGGCTTGGCTTCTGAACAAAGAAAGACATCAGAAGGGAAAGGTGAAAACTGGTGTTTGTGCCAAACTGTAGATTTATAGTAAAATACTTGTAAGTCTCTGAAAATCATTTGCCACTGAGATCAGTGAATGGATTTCAGTCTGCTAAGCTTGTGGCCCTGTGACCCACAGGATCAACAGGTGACCTCCAGAACTAAAGGTTCATCATTTGAGCCCCCCCAACCCACCCATCTATCGCAATGTTCAGTCAGTGACACCTTACCCTGGCGTTCAGTCATTGACACCTTACCCTGGCGTTTTGCAGCAGAGATGGTGGTTGCATTCTCCTTTGATGTGGGTGATGGCCCGGAGGAGCTACAGGTGGAGTCAGAGACCCCTCTGAATGATGACACTTGGCACTTCCTGGAGGCGGAGATCAATGTGAAGTTTGCCCGTCTACGGCTGGATGAGTCACCTTGGCGACTGAGAGAGGCGCCACCACAGAGCTATGTATCCCTGAAGCTGGACAGGCCATTGTTTGTGGGTAAGTCTCAAAATCAATTTGGCACCCAGCGCCTGCCCAGTTTTTAGCAGCTGATGACTGGATTCCATTCTGAGAATTGGAATTGAAACTCTCACTGTGTGGATTTGAGTGGCGTTGGGAGGAGATTTTAATGTTCCTGAGCTGGGGAATTGTCTGGATTTGTGAGGGTGTGATCAGCAGTTATCTGGTGGAATGTAATCTTTGCCCTGTGTGAAAGCAACAAGTTAGCAAGTTTTGTTAATAAGGTTGGTTTTGTTCAGAACCATCCTCTATTCCAAACATTTGATCTTGTTCATAGAAATAAAATGACAAAGTTTCATTTTGTTGCTTGAGACCCTTTAGTAAGGGCTTAATGTTGAAGGCATCTTTTCTTTAACTTTATTACAACCTGTGTCTGGGAAGTGGTTTGTATGTATCTCTCTCAGTCCACATCTTCCTGCCAACTCCTGCTAAAACTCTTGTTGTTTAATGTGACAGGAGCTGCCGAGTATCGGCTGAACGCATTCTTTGGCTGCTTGCGTGGTCTCCGAATGAATGGAGTAATCCTGAACCTGGAGAAGGAAGCTAACCTTACAGAGGGAGTGAATGCAGGCTGTGTGGGAGAATGCGGCAGTACTGGGGTACTGTGTCAGAATGGAGGCAGATGCGTTGAGCGATATAGCACATACAGCTGTGACTGTAATTCCAGCGCCTTTGATGGGATGTACTGCCATAAAGGTACTGGCTTCTAAACTGACTGTATTATTCTGTATCTTTCTCTAGTTGCCTCACTTATCTCCCTTCATTTTCCCCTCTGATTTCATATAGTCTATGAGACCCACCCCTGCTCTTTCATCCCTATTCCAACTAAAATATTGATCATCCAACTTGCCTTCCTTTTCTCCATGTTAGCTGTTCCTTTGATCAGTTGTCTGTGTGCTGTTCCCTCTCTTTCCAATCACCCCATAACAATCCTGTCAGAAACATTGGATGCCTCCATCACAAAAACTACCACGTACCGATGTCCAACCACTGTCCATGGTGCTGGAACTACCTTCTTGAACTGCTGCAGTCCATGTGCTGTAGGGAGACCTACAGTGCCTTTAGGGCACAAATTTCAGGAATTTGACCCAGAGACAGTAAAGGAACAGTGATATGTTTTCAAGAGACAATACCTTGTGGAGCTGGAGGAACAAAGCAGGCCAGGCAGCATCAGAGGAGCAGGAAAGCTGACATTTCGGGTCGGGACCCTTCTTCAGAAATGGTGACGGGGAAGGGAGCTCAGAAATAAATAGAGAGAGGAAGGGTGGGGCTGGGGCAGGTAGGTGGGATGGTGATAGGTGAGTGCAGGGAGGAAGTGGTGGGGTTGGTCAGTGCGGTGGGAGGAGCGGATAGGTGGGAGAGAAGATGGACAGGTTGTGTCAGGTCAAGGAGGCAGGAATGAGAGGGAGGATTGGACATGGGATGAAGCTGGGGGTGGGGAGATTTTAAAACTGGTGAAATCCATGTTTAGGCCGTTAGGCTGTAGGTTCCTGAGGCGGAATATGAGGTGCTGTTCCTCCAGTTTGTGGGTGGTGTCACTGTGACACTGGAGGAGGCCCAGGATGGACATGTCACCCAGGGAGTGGGAGGGGGAGTTACAATGGTTTACGACCGGAAGGTGTTGTCGTTTGTTGCATACCGAGCGCAGGTGCTCTACAAAATGGTCTCCAAGTCTACACTTGGTCTCACTGATGTAGTGGAGGCCACATCGGGAGCAGTGGATACAGTAGACCACATTGGCAGGTATACAGGTGAACCCCTGTCTGATGTGAAAGATTTGTTTGGTGCCTTGAATGGAGGTGAGGGGGGCGGTGTAGGGGCAGGTGTTGTACCTCCTGCGGTTGCAGGGAAAGGTGGGGCTAGGGGGTAGTGGGGCTAGTGGGGAGTGTGGAGCAGACAAGGTAGTCTTGGAATGAAAGGCAGATAGGAGTCGGGAGGGAAATATATCTTTGGTTGTGGGATCGGATTGCAGAAATGGCGGAGGATGATGTGCTGGATGTGGAGGTTGGTGGGTTGGTATGTGAAGACTAGGGGATTCTGTCTTTATTTTTGTTGGGGGGAGGGGTTTTGAGGGCAGAAGTGCAGGAAATGCAAGAGATGCAGTTGAGGGCATTTTTGATCACCGGAGGGGGGACGTTGCAGTCCTTGAAATAGGAGGACACCTGACACAACCTGTCCATCCTCTCTCTCGCCTATCCGCCCCTCCCATCCCACTGACCAATCCCCACCACTCCCTACCTGCACTCACTTATGACCATCCCACGACCTTCCCCAGCCCCACCCCTCCTCTCTCTATTTATTTCTGAGCTCCCTTCCCCTCCCCATTTCTGAAGAAGGGTCCCAACCCGAAATGTCAACTTTCCTGTTCCTGTGATGCTGCCTGACCTGCTGTGTTCTTCCAGCTCCACACTTTATTGTCTGTGATTCCAGCATCTGCAGTTCGTGCTACCTCCGATATATTTCCAAGACAGGATGGTGAGTGGCTTGGAGGGAAATTTGAAGGGAGTGGTGTTCCCATGTATCTGCTGCCCTTATCCTTCTCAATGGAACTTTCATCAGAATGTAGGAACTGAAATTGCCGCTTTAGTTCCTTGAACATGTTTCACAATTCAGTGGGCTTATTACTGATTTCGATCTAACTCTGTATACCAACCTTCCTCTCTATTTACTCCCTTACACCTCTATATACCCACCTGCCCCCAATATACGCACCTTGCTGTTCCATATACCCACCTCCTGCCCCATGTATCTCCTAATATCAGTGAAACATTGGAATGTATCATCAAATATTAACAATTGATTGAACATCAGCTGCTGTTTGAGGAAAAGAATTTAAAACCACTGCCTATTGTATTTCAAGTGTTTCCGAGTTTTATGCCTGAAAAACCCGGCTCTAATGTTTAAACTAAAACCCCCAATACACCAAGCCCTTGAATCCCCAACTAGTGGAATTAATTTCTCTCTATTGACCCTATCTGATCCCCTTAAATGCATTGATAACTTGATTCATCCCCCAAGCTTGTAAATTCCAGGTT